TGTTACAATGCAGACAGCAAACCCAGGAAAGTTTCAATTGGGGCTTAATGGGAAGAGGGTTTTAGAGAACAGTCCAGGAGGTATTTCTGGAAGGCTGGGAAGCAGGGCAGTGGGGTTAGGAGTATAGGACTACTTTACCATAGGACTGTAGTGTGTGGGTTAAAAATAGTCCAAGACCATCTTATATTCTGTAGTGAGGGAATTTTTGCTTCAAAATGATGGGCTTTTAAGCAAGCTTTGGTCCAAGGTGTGAGGTATAAGGCTCCTATTGGAAAGGGACTTTAGGCGTCATTAATGGCAGAGACTGTGGCCAAAATTTGAATTTCTGTATATGATGACTTTCCATATTGCAAAGTAACATGTAATTCTATATTCTAATAGTAATATGTATATTAACAAGTTTAGTGATGTCTTACAGTCAGACTTGCAGTACCCTTCCATCTTGGGTTTGAGCTAGTGTTGGAAGGGAGGGAGCAAGATCTAAACTGCACAGAGACAGACTGCAGTTGCGTTTTCCTTAGTGAGAGCTTTCCTTGGGTGAGGGGTTTATAGGGAACAGGAGAGAAACATGGTAAATAGTTACTGAAGTGTGGTCATGGTGTAATAGGACTTCTATAAGAGTAGTCTTCCTATGTCTCTTGTGATGAGTCATTCTTTTCAGCCCCAGAAAGTTGGGCGCTTGCTGCTGAGCTTGCACACAAATCAAACGTGGTGGTCCCAGGAAATGATTGTTATCTTTGCTTCCACTTTCTTTCCTGGGAATTTTTTGCCCTGTCTGCTTATTAAAGAGCACTGTCTCACACACTAAGAAAAAATTGAAAAACAAACACCAACCAACAAAAAAACCAAAACAAAAAAACCCCAAAAAAACCCCAACCAAAAAAACAAAAACCAAAAAAATCAAGCACACCAAAAAAAAACAACCATACAAAACTAAACAAGTTTTACAGTAGCTGGTTCAAATCCTGGGGCAAAGATCACTAAATTAAGAAAAAAATTATATAACTGGAAGCAGCTATGGTAAGCATTTGGATGAATCACCTTACAGACTGCAGTTAGCTTTGTCTTTTCTGCACTGCTCAACACTTATTAGCAGTGTTTCCGTGAAAGGCACTGTTGAACATGAAAGCAGTGTGTGGTAAACTGTGCCATCACAGTGTCCACTAGGTAATCGTAAATTAAGCCGTTAGTAATGTCTGAACAATGAAGCTTTCTTCGGTGGTTTGTTCATATCATCTTCTATTAATGAACATCTGGCACTCAGGGAATGAAATTAAACCTCTGGCATTCAGGGAATGCCAGTTTACAGGAAATTGGCTAACCAGACCTAGATACAACAAATGTCGGCTTCAAATTCCATGATAATTAAGTGCAAAGAAAAGAAAACACTTTAACTAACAAAGAACACCTGTCTGATTTTAAGGAAGTCATATCCCATATAAGTAGAAGCTCTTGAAGCGCAATTATGGAACAGTAACTCTGGGATTAGGCACTGGTCTAAATTAACAAAGATAAATTTCACTCACTTTACTCTGTATAAATGTGTGCCCAGATAAACCTCCATCTCTTTACCAACCTTCATTCCCAGAGGGTTCTATGTTCAGTCCATTCCTTAATAATTTGTAAACCCACCTTTGCATTCTTCCACAATGCAAAACTACCACAGCTGTCTCCAGCCATGCTTGAGCTTAATATCCAGGTACTACTGTTGCCAACCAGCACCCAGAAGCAGAGACCTTATAATCATAGAATCAGAATGGTTCTATGAAGGGACTCTAAAAATCATCTAGTTCCGACCCCCCTGCCATGGGCAGGGACACTCCCGCTGGCACAGGTTGCTCAATGCCCCATCCAACCTGGCTTTCCCCCTGAGGAGAGCAGGATGCTGTTGTCTATGACACCAAGTAACAGAGAGATAGGAGCCTGTCTGGTGAAACATGGAGTGGAGAAGGGTGAGTCTACCTGCACCCTGCTGCTAGTTAAGGTCTCAGCACAGACAGACCTGTGCTGCTCACTCACTACCTGCTAGACTGAAACAGGGCTTGTGGAGTCTTCCTTGACCATGAAAGGGCAGAAGCCTCATGTCACAGAAACTTCAACCATCTTTTCTTTTCTTGCATTTCAATTAAGAGGTATTCTTAGCTGAACTTCTGCCAAAATTTTTTCATATATACTATGCGGCAAAATCCCTATTGCCTTTACAGTAAACAAAACCATATAAATTTTATAACTGTGTTCTGTCCATGCTAAATGACAATTTTCATTTAGGTCATGTCGAAGACTGATGGGTACCTTTATTCTCATCCTGTCCCAGGAGTAAGCATGTTTATTGCATTGCCACATGTAACTGTGGCTTTCGTTTTCAAGTCAACAGTTTTTTCTCATGCTTCCTGTGCAATAGAAGAGTTGTTTTTCCCCTTCTATTACAGTTCGGGAAATGACTAGAGTAAAGTCCTGTGACAAAATCAAGAGTGAAAAAAAGCTCCCCAAACCACAGGCTGCAACATCCTATCTCCTGTGCTGATTCAGTGGCAGTAACACTGAGATCCTCTCCAAGGTCAGAGCACATTTTCTGCTCCTTGGTAGCTCCTCATGGTTTCAGTTGGAATATGTGGTGTAAGGAGCTGTTTGTTCATATGGCATTGCTGAATTTTACAGACAAATCCTGGGCACAGAGAGAACCAAACAATTATGGAGGTGTGCTGTGTTGACCCTGACCACCAATGAAGCATCCTCCAAGTTGCTCACTCACTTCCTCCAGCAACGGGATGGAGGAGAGAATCAGAAGAGCAAAAGTGATAGAACTTCTGCTTTGAGATATGGGCAGTTTAATAGGAGAAGCAAAACCGTGTGTGCAATCAGAACAAAACAGGAATTCGTGTACTACTTCCCTTTGGCAGACAGGTGTCCAGCCACTTCCTGGAAAGCAGGACCTCAGTGGGCATAGCAATTGCTTGGGAAGTCAAATGCCATAAACAAGAATGTCCTCACTTCCTCCTCCTTTGCCCTGAGCTTTTATTGCTGATCATGGTGTCTTGTGGCATGGGATATCCCTTTGGTCCGTCTGTCTCATCTGTCCTGGTTGTGCCACCTCCTAATTTCTCGGGCACCTGCAAGCTACTCACTGAGGGGGCAGAGTGGGGAAAAAGAGAAGACCTGGATGCTCTGCAAACACCACTCAGCAACAGCCAAAACACAACTGTGTTATCAACACTGTTTTAGTTACAAAAATCCCAATCACAGCACCATATGGACTGCTGTGAAGAAAATTAACTCCATCCCAGATAGATCTAGTGCAGGAGTAAAGAGAGAAACTTATCAAGCTGTATAGTCTTTCTGAGGGAGGGATTGTCTTTTTGTTCTGAGGTTGTAGAGCATCTCATGTAGCAGGATCCCGACTTCTGTGTTGGGTTATTACAAATAGAAAATGATTACATTCACACAGATGAGATTTTCACTGATGTCAAAAATCCTTTTTGCTTCACTAGCCTTTGAACATTGCGTTGTAAAAGAAAAAATCAGAGGAGAATTCAGAGATGAGTTGAAACATGATGCTGTGTTTCTGTATGAGATGGAAGTAGTGCAGGGTGAGAATCAGCAGCAGCCTAGAAAATCCATCTGTAAGTGCTGGGCAGCTGGGAGGCTGTCAGGATTCTACAGCCACCGGAATTTTGCTGTTGTATTTCCAACAGAGAGATTAATAGCATGCCTTTGACCTGACAGGACAAATGTGCAAGAGAAAGGTGGATCTGTGAGGCAACCCACGTCTCATCTCCTTTTCTGCAGGACATAATGAATTTTACTGTATGAGACCTGGAAAAGAAGCTCATCATTTGGAAATCCATGAATCAATGTGAAGTGTGGAGGAGAAGCCAGATGCTTGAGTATAAGAAATATAAGAGAGATAGTAAAGTAGCATGAAGTTTACTGCTATTTAAAAGACATAACAATTCAGGGATTTTTTTCCACATAAATTGTATCATTGTTGTCACACCGTATGGTGCCTTATCCTCCTGTTATGGTAATAACTGAGAGGAAGTAGTTTCAAGTGTTAGTTCCATGGCAGGCAGCAACTTAACTAGCCTTGTAGTTTATTTCCAGAGACAGCACTAATCTTGGAGATGAACAGCATTTGTCTCCAATTCCTTTTTTGCTGTCTGCCTCACACAGAGAATCTGATCATGGTGTCATTACCAGTAATGATCATCATGTCTGTACAGTTCTCTCTGATTAAGATACAGGAACACTGCCCAGTAATTGCACTGTAGCACTCTTCTCTTTGAAGAATAACCTCCCCAAATCCAAATCTGGAAACAATATGGATAAAATTAAGAGAAGTTGAAATGACATGAGGGAAATCCTCATCTGAGCCACTGCTGGATACATACAGGTATCAAGAAGTTATTACAGTGTAGGCCCATCCTCCTTTTCTTTTACCACTCTGTGACTTGCACTGTTACCTGCACCCTCGTCATGGCTAGGTTCTCTAAGTAACATGCCCTGGCTGCTCATCTCGAAGACAGCTCTGTCTGGGAAAGATGGATTAGAAAGTGGGGAAGGTCATAATAACTGAAGTATTTGGTTATGTGGAAGGCACCTCTTTTAGGATGAAGTTGCTGCAACTGGTGACAGAAAAATTGGAGACAGGAAAACCAAAGGAGAAAGAGATCTGGGATAGAGAGATGACATGGACAGAAACACAGCTGTCTGCTGACCTGAGACAAGCTGGTTGATTCAGCGGTCAGTGGATTATGAGGTGTGAAAATACGATGTGTAGATATAGCCAGTTCATAAGTTGATGTTATTTACAGCTGATGTTAAAGAATGCAGCATAAGAATAGCATAAATCTTTATAAGAAAAGATGTGTGTTGTCTGCAATCAGCTGAGCAACACTGGTTGCTCTTCTCATTCCATATGTGAGTATTTTAGGTTTCATTGTAAAGCTATGGTACTAGGTCTTATCCACAGAAATAAAAATATGAGGACTTTAAGAGTTTGGTTTACATTTATTAAGACTTTATTAATTAAAAAAATACACAACATTTAGTTAGTCATCTGCATGAAAGGGCGAAGTCAGATAGTCTTCCCTTATAAAGCTGAGACGTCAAAAGAGATTTTTACTTTTACGACATTTGTATTATATTGGCCTTGAAATCTGTTCCATTACCATCTTTCTGGAGGCAATACATTTTGGAATGCCCTTGGAGACATAGGAACTGGCCAGTTTGTTTGCTTTGCCTCTATCACTCTGACCCTGTTGGATTACATGTGTGTTTCTTGGGTCAGGGGTCCTCCATTTTCCTTCTTCGTAGCAGTAGGTGTCCCAGGGGAGCTCTTAGCCTCAAGGCATTCAACTGCTCCATATGTAACCATAGACAACACAAGCACAGACAATAAAATGTACAGTTTGATGTAAACTTGCAATTTGGTGCTATAACCAAAGGCGATGACAAATCCAAGTGATTCCCAGAGACGGCAATTTGCAAAGGCAGCCTCCTTGTGTTTCTCAAATAAAATGCCATAGAGTCCTGGAAGGAAGGAAGGAAGGACATGGCTTGTGAAGATTAAGCCTGCTACCATGTATTTTCTGCAAAGGGAATAAATAGATTGCAATGGGGAAGACAGACCCTCCCTCATACATGTCAGAGAAAGGAAAATACAAACTTTGTCTTAAAAAATTTTTGTGCCTCTGTGAATTATTATAAGTGAAATAATAGGGCCAACCAGACAAAATAGAGAATATCAGATAAAAGGGAATGAAAACATGAGGAAGGAAGGATGGGCTCTATTGAAGTGAGATGCCAGGAAGTTTATTTTTCAAAATATAAGCCACAAAAATGAAGGTTCTTGCACTGATGAACAAGTAAGTAAGGAGGAAGAGGAGATGTCCAGAACTGGCTTTTGACATAGTAGGGTCTCCATGTATGACCATTGAGAAGGTCATACCAAGTCCTTGCAGGCTTTCACAGAACAGGCAGTTTTGACCAGGGACAACATGGTCCTCAGGGACTAAGATGCTCCCATACGTCACCAGTTTTGGGAAGAACTTGATTGTACCCTGCATGCACTGTTGACTTTTCTTCAAACTATTTCTTTCACCTGCCTGAGAACATGCAGAGACTGTTCGTGTAAAATGCATGGCCCTTGTTTTCGCCAGAACTCAGCCTCAGGGAGCCCCAAGGTGAGGCTCACGCAGTGTTGCCAGTGGTGGTAATGTCTGCTATTCATATGTGCCAAGTTGAGAGAAATAAACTGACCTAAAACACTTAAATCAGAAAGCTGAGAAAACTGCTACAATTGGGCTCGAATTTAGTATGCAGGGAAGATTTGCACCTCTGAGATAACCAGGTTTTCAGCTCCTGGATGGTTTGGCAAATAGAATATCCTTGATGCACACAGAACCCCTGGGCAGCAGCTGGAAAACTTGCTTGACATAGAGACTTAGTTAAACAGATCATTCTAATGCAGTTGTGTTCACTGGGAAGATCCCACTGACTTTGGTCAGTTGCACACCCACAAGTGGGAGTCAGGGTAGGATTCCCAGTCTCCAGGTCTGACTAGTGGAGCAGACAGGAAAGGGGGGAGACCTTGCTTTCCTCTGGGTGCTGAGCTAGCATCAGTTGTGATAAAGAAGGGGGCATTTCCTCTGACTCAACTATGGTGTGCAGGGAGGGAAGAGAGGAATATCATGAACCTTGACTCTTCTCATCCACTTCTCTAACATCATATCTGTTTGAAATATGTACATTTAGCCAAAAGGGACAGAGGAGTACAAAGTTCTCTTAAAGTCTGGGTAGACTCAACTATCCCTTCAGTTTTGTTAGATAGGGGGAGACTTCATCTGTATGTAAAAACCTACTGAATCCTGATGACTTCAAGAGGACATTTACTGAACTCTTTCAATTTACACATGATGGAAAATCTGGATAAGTCCATCACAAGATGTACTTAGTTCATTAAACTGGCTGAGTGGAGCGTAGCATGAATTATACGATAATCCTTCATAGTTTTGCCTAATAAACGAAAAAGTGCAAGTTGTTCATAAAACTTTCCTGATATGCCCAGCATTATCTTCTGGAAAGTGATTAGTGAGGAGAGTTTAACATAGGAAGGTTTCTGATGCCATGACAGTTCTATATGTTAAGATTCTAGCTTTCAGCTGGTACATGTTTTCCCTTGCTATTTTGAAGCCTTCTTTTTCAACCAAAACAATGGGAGAATTGAGTGAGGATCTAGTCCAAAGTTCAGCTATAGGAAGGGCTGATCTGGCTGGGAAGTCCTCATTTTCAGGATACACGTGCTATTAGCTAGCAGTTACATAGGAGCACAATGTTGGTTTTGCCCCAAACCTAAATATTTGTCCTCATCACAAACACTGTCAAGTGCAGTGTGGTGCAAATTGCCTGGCTGAAACTTCACCAGGACCTGCTGGGCTGGCTGAGTAGAGAGGCTGCTAGGTCTGCATTTTTACAGTTCACTTCCATGGCAATTATCCTGCTTGTTTACCACTGCTCATTTTCCTACTCCTTCCCCCAGTTGTAGTAGGCATGTGTATATGACAGGACTGCTGAAAATTATTTGAGCCCAGGTTTATAAACTCTTTAGAGTCATTCATATCCTTTCTGAAGATGCACATCAGCCTGTAAAGAACTTGATTTTACTGTAATCTACCTGACAGCTCTGTGCTACACAATTGTTATACCAGAAGTGAAATTGTCACTGGGTAATAACAGCATCTATGCTCAAGTTAAACAAGAAAGGGCACTACATGCTCTGAAATGAAGCAGCTTTTATTGGAAATAAATTAGAGTGTCCATACATGAATGAAAACATGTTAGGAAGCCTTTATAAGGTGATTTATCCACCATAAGCCTATATATCCTCTAGGGGGTACTCGAGTATTAACTATTCACAGCAGCACAAAGTGAGCCATCTTTGATTACCACAGAATGCCTTAAGAATGTGGCACAATGCCATTGCATGTATTCACTGGTTAATCTATTGAAGCCCTATCAGCAGTCATGGGAGCTTACCAAGGGAAATACCATAGACCCTAGTCACCAATGCTGTTTTGGAGGTCTTATATTCTTTGATGCTGAGAATTTCTCATGTGATGTATATCTGTATAAAACTGATGAAGGGGAGAAGACATTTAGCCCCAAGTGGATATGTCAAACAAAAGATCCTGTTCTGGGATGCAGCATTGTGAGTTAATGTCACTGCACCTCTCTGTTAAGGTTTCATGTTATCACTCAGCATTTCACTGTGACAACGTGACAAAGAAAACTTTGTATAATTTTATAACTGGGAGCTGTGAAACAGCTGAATAAGGTACTGACAAAAAAAAAAAGACATTATGCAAGGAAAAGGAACATATGGGTTTTTTTCCAAGCTAAAACACAGGTGAAATTTTTACTAGTATCCTGTAGGAATCTAGGAATGGACATGACCTGTTACAGTGCAGTAATAGAGCGTATGTCTTGTCACATAGCTCCAGAGCTCACTCACCATTAAATAAGCATGAAACTGCCTATGTCTCATCTGGGGGCTTGGGAACTACAGCCACTTCCCAGACATCTTCTCTAATACTTAGGGCCTCTGTATCTACCCCTTTTTTTCCTAATGAGGGATTCAGGTACACCTTTATCAGGTATGCAGGGACCTTACTGAGGAAATGTCCTTACTGAGGACATCTCAAATGTATGTAAATCCTTGAAGAGAGGGTACAAAGATGATGGAGTCCAACTCTTTTCACTGATGTCCAAGAAAAATGGACAAGAGGCGATGGGCACAAACTGAAATACCAGAGGTTTCCTCTGAACGTCAGGAAAGATATTTTACTTTGATGGTGAGCACTGGCACAGACTGTCCAGAGAGAGTGTGGAGTCTTTCTCCCTGGAAACAACCAAAAGCTGTCTGGACATGATCCTAAGTAAGTGGCTGTGCCTGGGTGGCCCTGCATGAGCAATGGGTTTGGACCAGCTGATGTCCAGGGGTCCCTTCCAACCCTAACTCTTCTGTGATTCTGAAAGAAGCCCATTGTCTGAAGCAAGACTTTCTGGAAAAGACAGAAGTAGAACAAAGGGCAGTTCCTTTAGCCCAGTGGAAGACTAAGATATGGCTCTCAAGAGTGTTGAGAAGAAGCTTAGTGAGCAGTAAGAAAGATTGTGGCTGAAGAAGCAGGAAATGAATGAACAGTTTTACTTCAGAGAGAGCAAATCCTCACTGATGTTGTCCTTTCATGAACCTGAGTAATGAATGCACTGATTTAAAATTTTTCCCTAAGGCACAAGGCTCTGGGTTACAATGTGAGATGATGAGAGGGTGTCCCTTGATGTAAGTGCAAGCTCTCCTCTAGGGGATGTGAGCTGGAGCTGGAGCTGCTGGCTGCTTGCTTCCTTGTGTGTAGAGGCAGGGACTCTACACATGCTTGAAAAGAGAGTACTATCAGTGCCGGGCAATGGACTGCGGTGTTTTCCCTTTGGCTATCTCATGACAGTTTATCTAGTGGGTGAAATCATCTAAACTCCTGAAACAAGCAAAGGCACCAAAGGGAGGGAGGCCGAGACACATAACCTGATGTGTGCCCGGAAGAGCTAGTTCTGCTACATATATATTCCTATGGCATCTGCTAAATATGAATTTGAGATAGAGGAAAACAATATTGATGAAATAAGAGGCAAAATACGGGAGCAGAAGGGAGATCATTTAACTATCTTACTGACCCAGGCTATGTCATTGATTTAAAAAGACTGTAACTGACAGTCATGAGCAGACTTTACTTCAAGTCATCACAGACTATAACTCTTTCTTGCCCTCTCCAGCACTTGAGAGTCTGGCTTTAGGGTCTGTAAGAGAACTTCCTTTAGTTTTCATTAAGGGATAAGTTTAAACAATCCCTTACAGAAGTCAGTTTGTATCAGCTCATTATATGAACTGTCAGTACATAATAATTAATTGCACTGTGTCACAAAGCAGAATATAAAAGACTGTAAGAATAAACCTAATGCATGAGATTAGAAGTCCAATGGCATACTTTCAGGAACAGGCTTCTGGGTTAAGAGTGTAAGAAATGAGGCAAGAATACAGTGATATTTCCCCCCAAAAGTCTTTCCGACTCTGGCAATCAAAGACGTAGGGACACTCTGAATTGGGGATTTCTTCTGGACCACCAGCCTTTAATAGCCCCAAAGAACATTTTCCCCTGAAGTGATGTAATTCCAACTGAAAAATATTTTTGGCAATGAATTCTATACTTTGATTATGCATTGGGTGAAAAATGGTTTGATTTCTACAAAGGCTTCTGTCTGATAACTTCACCTGGTGCCACTAATTCTGTTTTTAAGAGAAACAGTGAATTTCTAATCACCTTCTCCATATTCTTAATGACTTTACCAACTGGTTTCTGTACTTATCACTTGTCCAGGTTAAAGACCTCTAGCTTGTTAGGCTTCCTTCAAGTGGAAGTCTCCCATGATTCAGCTCCGTTTTATTGCCTTCTTATGCCTTATCACATTGGATTATGATTTTTGAAATGGAGTGAATCAGAACTGTATGGATTTACTTGCTCGTATAATGTTTCTTTCTGTAGTTTTCTCCTTCAATTTTTTTTTCTAGTAACTCCTAATAGCTAATTTCCTTCTTCTTTTGTTGAGCTTTGAGCTGATTTTTTATTCAGAGCGCTCTCCTTTATTGTAAAAGACAGACTAAATGTATAATTCTTCTAAGTTTCTAATTTTCTTTGAAATACTCCTCCAGAATATTTATTTTGAATACTCATTATCATCTGCTGCAGTATTCTTCTCTCTTCATCTTGGAAAAATTGGTTTTATGAGTATTTTTCTTACTTATTCCCAATGTGCTCTTATTTCTTCTATTTTCCCATGATTCAACATATTTCTTTTAGATGCCGTCTTAATGCCATTATCATTTTTATGCATGCATTGCTTTACAGATGCAAACATGCAGATTCTTATATCTCAAGAGAATACATTTCATTGCCAACAGGACTTACCATTAGTTTGTGTTTGCCAAACAGCATCAGATAGGCCCCAAAGAGCAGGGAATACAAAAAACACAGCGAGCTGCTTAGGATGAGGTTTCCACAGCAGTAGTGCTATTATACAGGCGGTGTTTGTAACTGTGGCTGTTGATTTAGAAAGAAAGAAGAGAAATATAGATGCAATTATATACAGGACAGATAGTGATAGATAATACTTTTTTATTCTTCTCACAACTAGAGCACAAGGCAGTCTTAAAATCTTTCTGGTTCTTTGAGATTTGTGCTGACTGAGTTGATATCATATGAAATACAAGACAATGCAGGCCTTCGAGAGTCTTCAGTTCATAGTTCTGAGCAGTGTCCTGAGCTGAGAGATCCTCAGCACTGGCATGGCTGTTAGACCAAAGGACACAAACTGCCATTGAGTAGGAGAAGGGGCTGCTGAAACACTTGCACTCACCATGTGAGGCATGTGGGAAGGGAGTGCAAAAACCCTTCTGCTCTCCTTGCCTAGTCCTTAAATGAGATTTCCATTCAGGGCCAGAGGAAACAATTAAGGATATCTAGAGGGTTTGGTGGTTTTTGGTCTTTCTTAAATATGCAAATTTCTCTCTGGCATGTTATTTTTCTCCCTACTAGAACAAGCAGTAGAAATGGCACCAGGCCAACCTTTAAAAATTTTCCTGAAATTCTGCTGAAATTTTCAAATTTACCATTCCCCAAGACTCAGATCAACAGTGATTTTCTTTCACTCCATAAAGGTGAGGATTTTTCAGCCCATTGGAGAAATCCTTCACTGTTATAGTGCAAGTCTCAAATTCTGCATTAAGATCATTTATCACTGGCTGCATTAGAGCTATAAAGCATCGAGACTATTGGGCACTTTCTGCATAGATAATACCCTCAAAAGCATGGTGAACTTACATCACCGGCAAAGTGATGTAACGCAAAGACTTCAATTCAGTGCTTAATTGTGAACTGTGCTCCCTCTCTTCTCATGAATGAAGTTTTGAAGTTTGCCTCCAGACTGGCTTTGGTATTAATTGATAGCTGACAGCAAGTTACCCCCCTGTGCATGGGGTGCAAGGGGTGGAGCACTGGTTTCGATCTATTACATGAGGTGATCAGTCATTCAAGAAACATTCACATACCTAATGCAAATAGAAGTTTTCTACCCGTGAACTGAGAGATCTTTCCGAAGAGCAGAGAGCAGAGGGAATTTACAGCTGCAAAGCAGATCATCACATAGCCAACGTACTGTATCCCTAGCGCACAGGTCACGTATGCCTGGAAGAGAAGGGACAGTGGTGCTACATTATCTTCCATGAAAATACACACCTAAAGTTCAAAGGTCTTAGCCTGAGTATTTGGTAAATAGCATGGACAAGATCAAAGGAGCAGAGCTGGAGAGTTTGCTGACAAGTCCCTGGTGTATTGATATAGTTGGTCTTCAGCAGCAATACTCCTAACCCAGGTCCCAGTCAGACTGATGCCATGCAAACAGAGCAACAACAAGCAGAACAAATCAGAGCACTGCATGCTATAAATAAAACTTCTGGAAATAGCATTAGAAATTTTTTGCCATTCCCTTCATAGCCCAAGAGGTGAAAATTGACAGTTGAAACTATGGTCATTACAGAGCAGCTCCCAAGAAACGAAGAGGACCTCATCTATAAGAGCATATGACCAGTGGAGGTGATCATGGAGTGCCTCTTTCAATCTGTTACAACATAGCAGCAAGTGTGCTCTTCCATCTTCTTTGATGCAAGGTTTGAAACCTTAAGCATCAAAGAAGCAGCTCAGGAAGATTTCTCTCTTTCTTCAGGTTTTTTTTCAACAAATGCATGGAGAACACACCTGCTGTGTGTCTTGATTTGTAGAGAAACTGGAGGAGCAGAGGTGGTTTTAATCATTTCAATCCATCAGGGTTTGGACCTATTGCACTAGTGACTGGTGAGGGCTTTCAGCCAGCCATGTTGAGGACTTGCTCTCTTACCGTAAAGGTTGTCAAAATAAAATACATGATATGTGTGCTGACTTGCACTTATACAAACTCTAGGGAAACCAGAAGGAAGGAAGATATAAAAGCTTTGCTGGCTTCTGGCTTTTCTCCCAGTTTGTTATTTACAACAAGCTGAAGAGTTTGAACCTGTAGCTCTCTGCTGTGGCCTCCACTGGTGAGTTAAGCTCTCTACTGCACTCTTTTTGAGGCTGTTCCAAGGGACATATTTACTGCTGGCCTCTACTCTTTGAAGATGCCACTCAGAGTTCATTCAAGCAGAAGTAAGCAGTAATTTAGCAATCCACAAATCACAACTGAAAACATCTTAATTTAACACGTAAATATAGATTCAGATGCAATAGTAAGACACAAAGACACAAAAAAAAGTCAGACAGAAATAGATTTCCGTTCTCATCCACACCTTTGTATAGTCACCAGAAAGAAATCCCTGTTCAAACCCACTGTACATTGTCAGAGGGATTAGAAGACACTGCCTTTTATCTTTAAGATGCTGGAAAGTTGCTAGGAATGTAGACCAAAAAGATGGTATCTCTAGTTTTTCTTTCTCAGTCTCTGCTTGATCAGATTTGATCTGGTCCAGAAATATAATAATCAGCAACACAGCTAGCACACCACTAGCTGCAAAAAAAAAACAAAACAAAACAAAAAGTTCATGAAAAACTGAGGAATGCTGGAAGAATGATGGGAAGTTGCTTGCTGCTGTTATTGTTCTGACTTAATGCTTAGCCCCCTGTGGGATACTTTGGCAGATGCCTCTGATTCCGTTTCAGTGTAAAGGCCATTTCTGTATAAACAAGAAGGCCTGATCTACATTCACATCTTCTGCATACAGCTGCACACCTCACAAATCCCCTCAGCTTAACTGTGACTGTCCTGTTGTGACAGCCGCCGGGCCAGCTGCACAGCCGCAGAGGGTGATGGCTCACCCTTCCAGGGCAATCCAGGGGCACGGGGATGGGGAGCTGGCCGGGAACAGCTCCCTCGGGAGCTATCAAAAGCCTTTAAATCAACATGAGAGAGGAATATTCACTTCTAGTGCCAAGTTTTTCCTGGCTAGGGGGGATCTTCTTTCGAATACATGGAAAGAAAAATAAATGCTGTCTTGGATCTCAGTATATGTTGTGCTTTTTCTTTTCCTTTTTTTTTTTCGTTTCAGCTCAGAACAATGCTTCGAGTATGGAATATGTGCTGTTTTGATGACGATGGTGAGCAATTTTAGCTAACTTGAAAAAGATTGAAGTTACTTCCTAGCAGAAGCACCATATGAAAGAATAAATAAGGTAGTTAATCAGAAAATGATTTGTTGCTTGTGTAGTGAATCAATACAATTTTTTCATGTTACCGAGAAGATAAACTTGTCTCATATTATACATGAAACAGCCATAGATTCACAATTGATTGCTTCATTATGAGTGCAGGGCATGATTATGTTTCCTCTCTTACTTATGCTGACTAGAATTCCATCCATGGAAACAAGTAGAGTTCAGAGTAAGAGGAGAACCAGGCACCTCTTCCCATTCACACTGTCTGTTTAATGTGCTCCTATGTTATGTGCATGGCTACTGTCTCTTCTGTGAACTTTTAATGTCCAAATGCATCAGCAGATTTACAATAAACTGCCTCAATTTTTTGTTGTTCATTATTTTTCTTCCATGTCTCCTAGAATGAAATTGTATTCTCCAGTGTCCTGGTTCCCTACAGAGGCTGAGCTGTAAACTCTTCATAATGTAAGTAATTGCTTGTTCTGCCAGGGTGTTTACTAGTACATATGGGCTAATTGCAGGACTTATATGAGCGAGAGCAGGGAATCCACACTTTCAGGAAAAATATTCTAACAAATATGTCAAATGAATCAAGAGCAATTAGAGGAGATAATGACATGGTTTAAGAGTGGTTGGTATGAATGTAAGTAAAAACATCCACAGTCCTTGAGAAAACTCAACAACAAAGACTACGCCAGTATTGTCTCCACCCAAGCTGGGCAAAATATGTATTCAGCCACCAAATAGAGGACACATTTAAAAATGTCTGTGGATGAAATATTTAGCTATTTGCTTTCCCTTGAGGTGGGAAAAGACATATCTTTTATTAAAAGCTTAAAAGAAAAATGAAACCCTACTGATGTGGGGTCAGTAGACAGCAGGGTTGCATTCATTTTACATGAGCAAAGCCTAAGGGAGCGCTGTATATGTTAGTCATCAAATTTAGATTTAAACTTGTGAGACAAACTTGCCTTTAGCAGAAAGTCATCAGCTCCAGTACACTCTGGAAGGGAAATGGGGGGATATTCTTTACATTTTCTCACCAATTAGGAATGGAGGCTGGGGAAAGAGGAAGGGTTTGCTGCAGTGCCCTTGTCCAGTGAGAGCTGGCTCTGTGTAGATCACATGCACTCTGTTGGAGCATATAATAAATTCCATGCATCTGTCTCAGCACAGAGAATACATCTATGTTCAGAGACTGTGAAGATATTTTAATGGAGTCAAGGTGGCATATTGCCTTGCCAAATACTTTCTTTTATCCAGAGGATAACTTGTTTTGAGCTGGATACTTTTTGAAATTTCCTCACTCAATGAATCTTGGCACATCTATTTGTCTTTCCAATTTTTGATGGCATCAGCCTTTCCTGTCTTTGATTCTTTTCTAGCCTTATGCAAGGGAGGTCTCTAGCAGCCGTAGTTAGTAAATGGGAGCAAATTAGCAAATGCCAATTTGTCTACTGCTTCTCTTCAACTTTACCTTTCACACCAAGGTATTCAAGCAGTGCAACTAAGAGTTGACTGCAGTTGTGAAGTGTCAGCAGGGATCCAAAAACCTTCCCTCAAATGACGGCTTGTTCTGGGAGCTGTGGTTCAGGTCCACCTCTAAATACAATGTAGTTCTTGTGCTAAAACTTCTTTATATATGGTAGGACACCAGTCAGTTCTGATAGGCATCCCCACTTGACTAGAAGTTGGTGAGTTCAAGTACTGCTATCTGGGCTGCTCTTACCATCTTGGACCTCTGCATGCATATAAATTTACCCTATGCCATCAATAACTAGATCACTATTACTGGTCCTGACAATAGTGAATTTAAAACCATCTCACACATAACTGGATAAGCTGCTGTAATCCTGTAATTGCAATGAGGGCACACTTTTGAGTCTAGTCTGTAGAGGAACATTGACTTTGGGTGAAACAATGGGGTTACCACACTGGGCTTCAACTTTATTTCAGGTAAAAAATTTAAAGAATGTCTTGCTCCTTTAGATAAAAAATTATACATAATTATACATAAAACATAAAAAATGTTTTATGGCATAAAACATTTGACACTAGAAAGGAGTTGTTTACAGGTCTCACATATGTTATTTCTTTTTAGCAAATTGGATTGAAGAAGAAAGTCAGAAACTTAATCTGCAAAGTCATGATAGATTTCAGAAGTACTAGATTCCCCACCAGTGATATTGCTTATAGATTGTGTTTATTACTTACCAGTGTAAACACCTAGCAGTGTGTAGATTAAGGAGTGGGAGGGTTTTGCTGAATCAGTGGTGTTAGTGGTATCAGCCAGGCAGTTGTATGCTCCACAGCATGCCAGGTCTTCTTCTGAGATTTCCACTAATTCAGTAAGAACCAAAAGAAAGGCAGGTCAGTGAAGAGATCAGATAACTGCACACTATACATAAGGATATAAAGAGATGGGAATCCAGTGCTCAGTGATTGGTCCCCATTTCAAATCCTTCCTGATTAGAAATGATTAACTTCAGAATCCCAGTTTAACACACAAATATTTGATTTAACAGAAGCAGTAGCTTCCGACTTAACACTGAACTGATGGTTACATGGAGATAAGGACTAAAATTAAAGGTTAAAATCTGAATGCAAGCTCAATTTGCAGTATTCAAAGTTCCAGTGCATATCGCTACATCTTAGTCATAACACCCCATGAAACAGGTCCCTTAGTTCACACTGCCACTGAACTGATGGTCCACAGTTCTTACAGCCATTGCACATTATCCCTCTCCAGATAATGTCTGTATATGTTATAGGAACAGAAACCACTTCAAGACATTTTTTTGTTTTATAAATTCAAATTATGACTACCCAGTAATGCAGTCTTCCAAGAAGCCTGCTTTTCCTGGTTTTATTATTTTATTACTGGCTTTATAAGTTTCTGAGAACATACCTTAAACTAGATCAGTTCAGCAGGGTTTGGAGTAAGACCTTTGCTTTGTTCAATCTTACCAGTGTTGTGCTGGTCATACATCAAAGCCACACACATGTGCTCACACACACTGTGTGTCACCATGACACCATGCCTACTTCGTCTTGATAAAGAATAAATACTAATCCAAAGTATAAGCCTGAATAAGCTGTGTAGTGGAGAAGGATGATCAAAAAGCCATACAATTATTTTAGTGCTTTCACTGCAGAATTTGTCATTGGTCCAAGCACAATAAAGGGCAGTACACTTGTACCTTGGCTGAGTCCTTAAATAAGAGTTGATCTGTAATTTTTCAATTAATTTTTCAATTGTTTAGTGTGGTTTTCCTCATTGCTTGCAATCAAAGCTGCTGCAATGTGAATCAGCTGTTCAACTAGCTTCATAAACAACTTTAGGTTTAACATCAGATAAAATTTAATAATGTAAAGAAAATCATTACCTTATTATAGCCACTGGCTAGTGCTATAGACCTTCAGCAAAAATTGGACAATCAGACCCTCACCAAAATTAACATATGGAAAAGATGAGTCACACAAGTGAAGTGTGGAAATGTGTAAAACAAGTTTTTCATCTGTTCATGAATCATCTGAAGATGCACATGCAATTAGTGATATGGAAGGTGCAAGGCAGGGTTTGCACTGTTCCTCTGGAATTAAGGCTGCAATATTGATGAGTGAGAAAGCATGACTTGTAATTTACCCTGAGTACTGTCTTCTGTTGTAGTATTACTTCATGGTGTAACTTTGCCATGCTTCCTCTGGATGCAGTGATGCAGGCAATTTGTCAAGTGTAGGTAAATGTCTGAATTCTATGCATTTTGATTTTGAAGACAAATGCTATATCTTTCTGACTGCTCAGTGAAACTGTACATTTTAAGTATATGAACAGTATGGATGGATACCTTTGTTGCAATGTCAGAGGAGAGAAAAATATGGGAGAGGTTGGAGATGCTTACTCTCTCACCTCTGCAAAGAAGCTCCCTCTAGATTAAAGCTGAGTCTCACTGAGAAGGCACAGCAGAGAAGCTTATGGTATAACTGCTCATCACTGTTGTGAAGGTATGCAAGGCCTTTGACTTTGAGAGTTGTTCACAGCACATCTCCCAAGAACACTGCATTTTCTGAAATTCTATATAATTGATTAAAAAATAAGTAAAAGAAATTCTTTAGAATTTGGAGGAATATCCTCAGATGTAAAACTAGGAAGGGATTTACAAGACAAAAAAAGTAGAAGTTTAGTCCTCTTATTAAAATGATGTGTGCTGTGAGGCAGAGGAGAGTAAAATGGTTGCAGTCTGTGCAGACCCCACAGCTGCACCACAGCCTCTGCCCTGCAAGCGAAATCAGAACAGACAGTCCCTCCCGAGATATCATGTGGCTCAGTGATCAGGTCAGCAGGGCTCCACTGCACTTTGAAAGCAGTCCGTTAGCATTCTGCTCTAATGGTGTTTCATCTGTAGTTATTTGGGTTTAAAGGAAGCCTACTGTGATACTCCAAAAGTGTCACACCTTGTGACAACTACTTTGCCATAAAGCCAAGGATTCAAAGATTAAAACCCGATGCCAGCTCCCTGATATTTAGTTTTAAACTAGTACCTGTTTGAATACTCTGCTTAACTGAGCCAGGGAAGAGAGGTAACTTCCTGCTACTTCTAGTAGAATGTATATGGAAAGTCCCTGTTGTGACTTTGACAGGATAAGGAATGCACAGGAGACTGCAATGATAATATATCGTAGCATTTTGAATCTCTAAGGTGGCATCCAAGTATTAATTTATCTTCACAACTGCCCGTTTAAAGCTGACACCAATTACATGCATGGGAAATGAGGGCACTGCTGTTGAGTGATTTCTTCAAGCTACATCGGCATCTGCTGTCTGAGCCTGAAGTACAGCAGAGGAGCCTGGGCACACAGACTCCTGCCAACAGCTACTGCTATTTCTTCTTGACAGTTCTGTAGAGCACTCATTTTCAGCAAGCACCAGCATCAGCTTGACTACTCTTGAATGTTTAAAAGCAATTCAATACTACAAACTTTGCGAAAAGGTTGCTTCATGTTTTGCCTTTTGTTTTAATCCGCTTTAAACAGAAGTTAGATGTGAAAAACTGTCACTTCCAGGAGCCTATCCATGCTTTACAACACAGGGGTGGAATTAAATCAGAATTCAATAGACATCTATTTTTGAGGTATTTGTCTGAACTCTTTTTATGGCTGATGAAGAGTTGATAGAAAATAGACACTTTCAGAGAGCAAAGCAGCCCATCTATTTCATACATCTATCTTCAGATGAGCTAACTCACATCTGAAGTGCCTATTTACACTGCCTATGGAAGCTCAGATGCAGAAATTTACCTTTTATCTATCTAGCTGAAATTTATAGAAAGAAGTGCCAAAATTTTAAAATATATTTTACCTTTGGTGGAAGATTGGCTAAATATCAAGGATGAGATAAGATTTCCCCAGACGCCAGAGGACTGAAATACCAGAAAGAAGACCCCAAAATATTGGTTGATAATGTCTTTTGCATTTTTTCCTGCTTTCTCGGCATAAGAAGTGCCAGCAATGGTGAGGTAAGTGCATTTGGCAGACCAGAGTGGTGCTCCTCCTAAGCCCAGGATCACAGATGTAGGGATTAGTGTGTACCTGCCAAAGAACACTTTATTTAGCATAGCTGTTGTCCATTAGCATAATGATAATTTGTCCTAAGATTCAGAGGCAAAAATAGACATCAGAGAAATAGATTTATCCTTTGTATGACACAATAAATCTGTTACATGGAATCCAGAAAAGGCCAGTCTTACGAAGTTTGGGATGTGCAAGCACTCCCAGCTCTGTCAGGGACTAGGCCTAAGCTAGGCTGGCTAGGTCTTTGCTCATGTGCCTTATCTTCTTCTGACTGAGAATTAAATTGTACCTGCACTTCAGAAGATGGATCACAACAACTTTCCTCCAAAGAGCTGCAATCCCTGTCTCTGGAGAGTGGAAGTTGTTCATCCACCTCTGAAAAGGCAAGGCAAGAGCTACCCTCTTCCTGTGGTTCTCTTCTCCCAGGACTACTGGCTGGAAGATAACCTTCCTTTCAATCTTTTCAAAAACAGTCCTAAAAGTAATTTGGCTTTTAAATGAAATTTCTAATTTTTTTCCCAAAGGGGAATCTCTGCTACAAACATGAGTTAGAGAAGCAACTTAGATGCGTGAACGATGTATTCATTCTGATTTTTTGCACATTTTCATCTCTTGTTTCACCTGCTACTGGATTTATTTATCTCTATTTCTTGCAGGTAGCACTTTTGCATCCAACTTTCTAATATGCAACACAGAGGTAGAGCAGGAATTGAGAAGAAAAAGAAGCCAGAATTTTGCCCTTACTTATTTTGTTCAAACACAGTAGGCAGAGTTAAAGTATTTAAATTGTACCAGCTAGCATAGAAGTTCCCTAAGGAGAATGCAATGTAGCAGCACATAGAGATTGCAATGGTCCACTTGCAGCCCAGCTTCTTGATGAGGATTGGAGGGAGGAACATAGATGATAAGATGAGCGCAGCATAGAGAATGCTTAGGGAAGCAACACCCAGGCCTTCTTCTGAGTTGAGACTGCTCTGCATGGACAAAAACAGTGATTGAGACAAATTTTATCACAGGCACATATCATTATGGTGAACAGAGAGTGGTTTCAGGTAGAAATGGAGAGATGCAGCATCTGGGGCTGGGTGTTACTGTCTCCTTTCCCCATAGCAATCTGATTATGGATTTATGATTTTCCTCACAATGATAGAACAGTTATTAAAATACGACACAAAATCAGTTGAGGATTGCTCAGATTCAAAGCTTCAGTAAGTCAGACCTTAGATTTGATGTAATTTTTTTGAATTTCTCTTTGAAAGCAAGTTAAACGAAGGATAGTTTCTTTTCCTGGCCCTCACTTGTTCACAGAATCACAGAATATTCTGAGTTGGAAGGGACCCGCAAGGATCATTGAGTCCAACTCTTAGCCCTGCACAGGACTATCCCCGAGAGTAATATCATGTGCCTGAAAGTATCATCCAAATGCTTCTTGAACTCTACCAGGTTGGTGCTGTGACCACTTCGCTGGGGATCCTGTTCCAGTGCCCAACCACTCTTTGGATGAAGAACCTTTTTCCAATATCCAACCTAAACACCCTCTGGCACAACTTCAGGCCATTCCCTCAGGTCCTGTCACTGATCACCACCACAGAGAAGAGATCAGTGCCTACCCCTCCTCTTCCTCTCGTAAGGAAGTTGTGACTGCAATGAGGTCTCCCCTCAGTCTCCTCTTCTCCAGGCTGTGGAGTGACCAAGTGACCTCCTTCCCCTCCAGGCCCTTCATCATCTTCGTTGTCCTCAGGCAGGCAGGAATATCCTCAGATCTGCATTGTAAGGCCTGACTTAGCAACAGTAGAAGATTCTTTGCTTTAAAGTACAGGTCTGATAATTTCTAAATTCTTCAGAGATCAAGGTTCGATATCCTAATATGCTCACAGCAGCCCTTTGTAGTTGGAGGTAATTGATTCAGCCACATTTTGACAAGGGAGCAATAACTGATCTAACCAGGCGTTATAGTTTTATGCTCAAAGTAGTTCTTGTCTTGATACTGTTAAAGTTGAAATGAGAAGATCAAGCTGGGAGACCTGGACAAGCTTGAAAAGTGGGCCTGTGTGAATCTAATGAGGTTCAACTAGTCCAAGTGCAAGGTGCACCTGGGTTGGGGCAATCCCAATCATAAGCACAGACTGGGAGAAGAACTCATTAAGACTAGCCCTGTAAGGGAAGGACTTGAGAATTCTTGAGGATGAAAAGCTGGACATGAGCAACAGCGTATGCTCACAACCCAGAAGGCCAATCACATCCTGGGCTGCATCAAAATAACTGTGACCAGAAGAGGGACTGGATGCTGAGGGCTGGCACTGGAGAGTGCTGGAGGAGAGTGAGGCTGTTGGTACTTGACAGAACACTTTCAAGTCCTGCAGTGGCTGTGCAGTCTGGCCATGCAGGACCATGGTGACAGTCGTGCAGCAACCTTGGTGAGAAACAGGCACCAGGGATATGAGGTCAGGGGCTTCCCTGCTGAGCAGTGTCAAAGTATTTGAGAATCGGAACGGTTGTTTTGTAAACTGTCAGAGAGGCTTCCTGATCTCAGAGGTCTTATTTCTGACATATCACGTGCCTGGTTTTGTCAGATATAGCTTCCAAAAATTAGAAGCCAGGCCTCCAAAACCATATGATTAGCTTAATTGTTATTGTCCGGGGTTTCTCTGAGGGGTCTGGGTAGTGGAATATTGAAATGAATAATGAAAATTTTTAATATTCCAGCACTTAACCTGAGTGTGCATCATTTAAGATGGTGGGACTGACTTGCAGCTTCTTGGGTTTATCTTCCCCTGCCTCATTAGTCTCCCCAGCTCACATGTCCATCCAGTTTTGGGGATATTTTTGCATAACTTCTTTGAACTCAGAATTTGACAAAGTCAGCAATGAGAAGATGTTCCAGAAGAGGAACACTCCAGTGGGAAAATCCAATCCAATTGATCATGGTCATATGTTAATATCCTGCATAAAGTTACTTATGAGTAGTTTATATCCATTTACTAGAAATGAGGCCGACAGAGTCTTCTAGTCTGAGAAGTTTCTCCTTGTGTTTATCTACTCTGAAGTATTCATAGGCAGCAACAGTAACCCTCAGTCTTTCATTTTGGTTAAACAAATGTGCTATAATGGTATCCTGAGTGTTCAAGTCATTTTAGAAAGTCATCTCTGCTACTATGTCTTAGGATGTTAATGCCACTACAAACCACAACTGCCTTTCATTTAAAATAATATCTTTTATGATCCCAGTAATTAATATATTATTTTATACTTAAATTATTTAATGGTTTGGGCATACATTATTATTATTTTATAATGACGTACAATAATAATAATAATTATAAACCCATAGCAATTTAGAAATATTAAAAAACCCCTTTCCAGAAACTGAATTTGTTTTCCGTTTTTCAATATCTTCTTTTGAGCAAAATCTCAGGTAAATTTGTTTTTATTCAAACAACTTTGTGAATCTGAAGAAGTATTATGCCACAAGCATTCAAGCTATTTGAGAAACACTAGAATAAAATATTTAGTAAATACTATGAATCTGAGTGAGGAATACTAACCTGCAGCAAGTTAATGTCCTAACCCACCTCATAGAAAATCTTGTGCATATCTTGCTCACAGAGACATGGAAAGATGGATGTTTCCTACTGTCAACTGTTCTGATGCCCTTCCAGGCCAACTGTCCTGCTAACCAGTGGCAGATTCCCACTTACCTGTAGACTTTGGAGTCCTCCGTAAGCAGTAAAGAGGAATAAAAATCCGAAAGAAATGACCAAAACATTCTTAAGATTCCTTTCCATGTTGTTTCATAGAAGACAAAAGGTCTGCTGGTGGGCAGAGCTGATCCAATTATTCCAGGGGATGATTCGAGTTGGAGAAAAACAGCTTGTGTCTTGCTGGAAAAGGTCACTTCTTTCTGTCTTTGTGAAGGAAAGAGTTGTTAATTATTTGAAGACTGGCCAGTGAACTTTACTTTTATTTGTACTGAAAACGTGTTATGGAGTTGTTACTCATTCACGTGTTGTGACTCCAGCAATAGCAGTTGCCCCTGAAGGACACCTATATGTTTTATTAGATAGGTATGTAAGTCACTTGCAACACTTGGACCAATGTGAGTATTGCAGTTGTACATTATATGGCTCTCTACTACAAGCAGCATAGAAAAAAAAAAATGCAAGCAGTGAAATTGCTTTCTGGCAGAAAGATATACTAATCCATAAAGGGCAAAGATTAAACCATTGTACTGAAACCTCTATTAGGCCTATTGCTTAACTAAGGTTACAAAAGCATACTAGGAAATGAGATTGTGTTACAGTGCTGTCTGCATACACCAGCTCTGTAGCTGTGCAGCACAGAAAACCAAGGCTGCTGGCTGCTTTGCAGGTGAGAGGGTCTTCATTCATGGGGAACACCATGGCTTTGGTCTTTGAAATTTACCAAGTCATAGTCATGAAAATAATTTTTCTCCACCTGTCTCATCAACTCAAAAGCCAAGAAGAAAGCAGATTGAGCAGATAAATGAAAAAGCAACTTCCCCTCCCCTTCTCTGGCCCTAAGCCTGGCAGGGTGAACAAGACCCTTCCTGTAGCTCTGGCAGAGGAGGGATTTGAACTTTGGATCAGTGGAATCCAAGAAAGTCCATGGTATAATGTAAAAAGATTGAAGTGGAGATGGTCTGTAGGGTGTCCATAATGTTCATCGGGAATGCACAGCTAAGACTTGGTCCAAATCCCACTAGATGGCACAATTTTGCTTCCCAAGGGGGCATCTGAGGGTGAGGGGAGGAAGCGTTAATGCATTAACTCATTTAATACAAAAGAGGTCACAGGTAGTTTCTGCTTTGGAGAAAATTGCAGTATGTGCCTTTTCATTTTCTTCTTTTGTCTTATAATCTCGAATGAAGTAATGCAGAAAACATAATCTTTTAATACTCCATTGTTAATGTTTCTTCTTTGTTGCAAGTCTGGATAGTGGCTTTTTATTTTGCAGGCCACTATGCACAACCTGCAAACACTTTGAATTAGATCATAATTATGCTCTTTTTTGGCAGTGTTTGTAAGCCTCTACAAGGCACATAGATCTTAAACTGGCAGTACTTTTCCCCATCTTTTTAGGTTTATGGACCCTTGCAATTTTCAGGTGAAAATATTTCACAAGACATTTGCACCTGGTGTTAACATGCTTGTTTCTGCTTCAGATCCCTTAGAAAAAGTCTGCCAGATTCTACAGATTTGCAATCATAGGTCTAAAACTACTGGAAAAATGATTGAGAATATGTAGGAATAATGCTTATCCTATCAGCTCTTGTAGCAAAGGCAAGAACCGGGAATAGTGCAAAGAGCACTCAGTTATAAAAGCCTTTATCTCAGTTCTTTTTCTTGACACTAGCAGTAATAAAAACAAAGCTTTAAAAAAAAATTAATTGGACACTATTTTTAAAATGCAGTGTTGGACAGGTTATCTGATCAGCACTTCTGCTCTGAAGGAATTCTTAACTCCTAATTCAGTCACGTCCTCTCAGCAGTGCAATACTGGAGCATATATGGGAGATGGTGCTTTTTTTGTATGTATGTTTTTTTCTCTTCTTTCCACTGATCAAAGGCATTTCAGCCTGTTCCACATCCCTTGCCCAGGGGTTATCCAACTGACTGGTCCCAAGCCCCTCCTTAGGAATGTGCAGAGTCCTTCACCAAGGAAATCTGATAAGGCGAAGTATCTTTTCCTTTGGTACCAGGCAGCCAAGGCTCCAGCAGGCCTGCTGTGTATCACTCTTGACACCTCTTTCATTCTTTCTGCCAGTCTAACTAAGATTAAGTAAGAGATCCTCAGGAGCTGTGCAATGCATTTGAGGCTTAGCTTTCTCACAGAAGACTGCAGCCACTAAGCTAAAACAGTCTTGCAGAAGACCACCCCAAATATAGGAGATAGAAGAGGCTGGTTAAACTGATGACTCCCTCCTACAGCCAATTACATTTGTTTTCCAGTGTTTATTCTCTCAGTGTAAATGAGGGCAGTCTGCTCAAAAGATTATAGCACTAGAGGCTAATCTTTGGGAAGTTTTGTTCTTCATAATTATCTTTTCCCTATTTACTCTATTCTGGTTAAATACATTGTTTAGGCAATTATTTTAACTACAGAACAAAACCACAACACCCAGAATACTCATCAGAGGATTTTCTGTCTTAGGAGGCTTTAATTGGTTAGTTCCTTGGTGGTATACAGTATCCCTTGAATTTACCTGTAGAAAGGTTGACTGCCTATACAGCACTTACTTTCTTGTTCTGAAAGTCTGGCCATGTTGCTCTCTTCTTCTCCTCCTCCTTCATCTGCATTTGTGCCCTGCCTATTTTGGAGTTGAAGCAGGAATGACTAAATGTGACATGTGTCTTGCAAAGCTCTGCCATTCTGACAGAGGCTTTGGAAAATACAGGCTGTTACATGTTGAGAGATGATCACAACTGGGATGCGAGATCCATAATGCTGAGCTGAACAGATCAAGCAGTAAATGCTGTTTTCTCACAGGAAGGGGGTTGGAAGGGAGCTGCCAGTCAGTGAACTCATTTTGCCCACAAAGTTGGAGGAAAATAATTTTTGTTACTTTCTCTCTAGAATTGTGAGTTAGTCCTGTTTGTCTCTAAAGGCTTAAACATCTCACCCTCCTCCAGTATTTCAGGTCTCATTTCCAAATTTCCTGTATTTCCCATCTGTCCTTTCAAATACTTCTTTTTCATCATGCAATGCATCTACAGATACTGTCCTTTCATCTGTTCTCCCAGGATTGTCTCTACATGCTAGCTGCATAGACATCAGTTTGCCACTTCTGTCTGAATTCTACCTGCTGATGTCCTCCGTCTTTCTCTGGAGGCACCAAACTGTCTATCTCAATCTTTCTTTATGTCCTTCATGTATGCTGTCCTTCCTTCCTTCCTTCCTGCTTTGCTGTTCCTGAGCCATCATTCTGCCTGTGTCTCACTGTTTCTCCCTTCTCACCTCATCTCCTGAGTGCCAGCAGACTTTTTGATTCTTAAGGGAGTGACCTGAAATCTGCTGGTTGAGTTCCCATCTCACAGATTGCTACACTACTTTTAGCCTTGCTGGTTGTAAGGTCTCTCTCTCTCCTCCCTTAGCACTGCTCTTAATTTCTGAGGACATCCTTTTCCTCCAGCTCCACTACCTATTCTTTAAAGAGGAGGAGGAGAGACACCTGGTCTTCTGGGCTGGAAGCCAGCTCATGGTAGAAAGGCAACCAAATGGAAAAAAATCAGAGAGGGTGCAAGCTTGAATGAAATTGTGACTTTTTTATCAGTAGGACCATGTAGGAGACTTTCCCTACAGGACACTTGCCTGCTCTGTTGAATGCAGCTGTCCAAATAATCAACATTGTCTTTATAATACAGACAGGACTCAATTTATGATAGGATGATATGATGCCAGTCCAGACTCACCCATAAACTTTTATGAGCTTAAAGTGTTGGGCTTCTTGTAGATGTTACTCGCCTCCTGAGATTTGCATCAGTTTTGGCTGGAGCTTTCAATGCATGAACACATGTATGAGAGTGTTCACAGATATTAATTCAAGATTAGGGAGAGATGCAAGCATGCTGAAGGTAAGCCCCTGTCCTGTGTAGTAGGCAACCTCCCTGCAGAGGACAGGTAAGGAAATTGGCCTCTCCAGGCTGACAGCTGCCTGGGAACAATCCCCTGTTTCTCCACCAGAGTTGTCTTGCATTCTTTCTCTTATAATAAAGTTCTTTCATCTGGTTCAGACTCAGCCCAATCACATTTTTCCTTCTTAAAACTGTTGCCCGAGCATTGACATTAGACATGTGCCTTGCTCTGCATTTTGGATGTTTCGGAATAGCTGCGGTAATCCCATTTCTAAACTAGCAACTGTGACTCAACTGGTAAGGCTTAACACCCTGCTAAGATAAACATGCCACTGTTGTGATCTATGCTTTATAATGAATGGGTAGGGAGATGGATCCTACATATGAACAATGGACTTTTGTATGGCAGTGGCTCTGAAGTCTTAAGAGCCTTTTACTGGAAACTGCTTGACTTCATACTGGTTGTTCACATAAGCATGCATCAGAAATTCCTTACACACACCCATGATGTGCCTGGGAGGATGGGTCTCTGTCAGCAATCCAAATCATGTACATTTTCACCTTTCCTTTTCGTTTCAGAGATGGCTGCTCATGTTATTAATGTCCACTATCAAGCTAGCACAAGAGAAGGTCCATAGTGGTCAGTCAGGAAGCCCCTGCTTTTTAAAAGCTATCATCTAAAGATTCATGATGAGTTTATCAGCCTGTAGAAATAAAAAGAAAAGGAGAATGGGGCTTGATCCCAGAGAGCAGCACTGCATATTGGTTTAGACATCCTGGGATGTGGATGTCCTCACCTCCAGTGCCTTTCATTTGTCCATTGGTTGCAGCCATGACTGGAGACTGACATAAGAGGAATATTTACCACCTATTTACCACCCATTTTCCATCGATGTAAATATCTACCGTAGAGAAAAGGGAAAGGTAGTATGAGTCTCTTCCTCTGCAAGCCTTGCTCCTACTAACTTTTGCTTTTTTTCTCTGAATATCCTACAACCACATATAACAGCAGGAGCTACCAAGCTGCAGAAGTTCAAGCAGGGGCTCTTGAGAGTGAAATATTAAAAGAGGCTGTACAGGCTGGTATGAAAGAAAGGTGTTCTTATTGGCAAAATAGAAGATCTATTAGAATTAATCAGAATACGCAATCCTGCAGAAAATTTTGATGATGAAACTTCTTCCCTATCCCAGTAGATACCACCAAGTGCCTGAGGCAGGTGATTACCTGTTTTACCTGGCCTTTTCTGCAATACAGATCCCTTCCCTTGCCTCAGCATCAGTAAATCATACAGCCATCCAGGACACTGTTTCTCTACCAGCTGACCCTGACCCTTTTCCTCTGTCTGCAGTTCTGCCTTCTCCCTCCAATCTCAGGCCCATTAGTCTGCGCATCCTTGCATTCAAACAAATGAAATTACCTTTTCCAGTGGCTTCCTGTACTTTGAAATTATAGAGCTAAGATAGACCTCCCGGGAAACAG